CAATCATTTATTGTATTTCTGAGTTACTATTTTCATTAAAAAATTAAAAATTACCTGTTGATGAATCAGTTCCTGTATCTTGAGTGATTTTCTTAATAATGAAAAAAATTGACAGCCAATAATAGTAAACAAACTTTAAAAATTACATTCGTTGTATATGCATAAGTAACTTTTAAAATATTTTACAAAACCACCCCAAACGGCACCCCCCCCCACCCTTTAACCAAAAAAAAACTGTTTCTGTCTCTAAATCAATAAGGAAAAATAGGTATTTAATATTTCAATGAAATAATATTGAAGCCATATTCGATATTGTTTTTTAGGAATATCTTCAAAAAGTACCTATATAACTATTTTCTTGAAATACTATTTGATTTTGAAAAGTAGTAAATACAGCCTACAGTGTTTAATAGTTTACAGTTTGAATTAATAAAATTACCTTGCTTTTTAGTGATGTGTTTATAAAGGATTCAATAAGTGCTTCATCATGAAGCTGTTTGGCTTGTCCTATAAAAAAAATATATACCAGCTTTAACATTTAATTTGATGATCAGCTTTATGAGTAAAATATATTAAATGAAACCAACTTAAAATATCAAGGTACAACAGTGTTTCATTAACTTTAATTTATATTATTAAAAAGGAATATACAAAGTTAGGCTAATTATATGACAAATTAATTAAATATTATGTCACATCATATATAAGCAAACACTTTACCTGTATCAAAAATTCTAATTATACAGTACTATAAAACCTTGAATTAAGGCCCTGGGCTTCTTTATTTATTTATCTTGTTTTTTTTAGCAAACTTTGAATGTGTTGCTTTACAATGCTACTTTTGCCAAGTAAAGAGGGGAGGGGGACTTCTTTTCAAAATTAATGCTGTGAATTTTGGGAATTACAAATATAAAGCAATAAATATGTAACATCAGTCTGTATCATGATAACCGACTTTATATCACCTAAACCACTGTATAAACCAAGCATGTTTTAAATTTTGTCTCTTTGAAATATATGTACAACTCATGTCATCTAGAGATGGGCTTTTTTTTCGAGATTAAGCCCATTGGGATTCAATTTGAGGTTAAACAGTTGATGCATTTATTATACAGGTCTTCCTTCAATTAAAGACCACTTCTGAGACTTTTGAGATTTCACCATCTTTAGCAGCTATGGTCTCTAATAGAATAATAAAGATATTTGTTAGTTTGGGACCACAGAAAAGCGGTCTTCAATTGAAGGTGGTCTTTCATTGGAGGGGTCTTTATTAGAGGGAGACTTATATGTCGGGATACACAGTGGCGGCTCTAGGATATATTTTCTAGGGGACTGAGCTGTCCAACAGGGGGACTTGAGCTTGTAGGCCTGAGCTGGGGGAAGGGTTCGAGAGGGGGGTCCCCCTCCCACATGAGATTTTTTTTAAAGAATAGCAACCTCTGGATGGCCAGAAATGACACTCTCAGACTGTGATAGAAGTGTTGAATTTGCGTGGGCCTATTCTATTTATATATATTTTACTCTGCCTGACGAGCTCTTTCCAATGGGGAGTGGGGGCTTGACCTGTTTGGTGGGTAGACATAAGTTTTATGTATTGGTACAATTTAACGTGTGTACATTTTTCTTATACAGTTCTTATACAGAGTAGCAGAAGTTCAGCACGGATTGACAAAAATTTAATCTAATTTAAGTCTGATTTCAATTAATAACATCACTTATAAAAATTACTGTATTACTTGTATTCTTTAAACATACTTTTTCATTTATTTTTATAAGTACTAACCTTCTTCTTTAGGAATGACTGTCCATGTATCATTAGGTTTGATTCGACAAAGCTTAGATATTACTATACCGTCGGTGCTTGGTTCATGTTGATTAAAGCTTAAACAAAAGAATATTATATAATTTAATTAAACAATAAAATGTGAATTTATCTAAATACAGAAGCAGCCTACCGTTATTTAAAAAAAAAATTGTACCAGTAGTAGAAGAATATTGTGGCAGTCATTTGTTACAAGCTGACAAGTGACCAGATGAATCCTTTCACAAGCTTTGGCTTATAGAATGAACTGTTGCCACACTGTCTTTTGCATTACAGTGCCAAATTTAATCAAAACAAAACAAAAAAAAAACATCATGCTGCATTTATGGCCGTTAACAGAAATGGTCCATTTTGGGGGGGGGGGGGGAAATCGGGTTATAAATCCTGCTGGTTTTTTGAATAGCGATGGGCTCTTAAATTATTTATTTATAAAGTTTAGCTTTGTCAAGTTCTTTGGTTCAAGATGATAAACTTGGGTCAAGAGAGTTGAACACAAGTAGCCTTTACGGAAACCAGATTGAAAAGGTGAGATAATGGATTTTAATTTAAGGAAATTATAGACATGGTTATAAATAAGGCGCTCCAACACTTTACAGATGACAGATGTTAGAGCAATTGGCCGATACATTTTGATGTCCTTTTTTCACCTGTACCTTTATATAGGGGGAAACACACAATGTTTTCATGCAGTGGTGATGATACCAACGGAAAGGGTTAAATAAATCGGCAAGAGATTAAGAAATGACATCTGCTATGGGTTTGAGGGTTCTAGCATATACAGTATGCAATCAAGACCAGGTGAGCTATTATTTTTTAACTTGATAATAATACTATGGATTTCAATTTCAATTTTTCAATTTAACATTTATTTACTTCCTTTTTGAATCAGACAAATATATTACAATTGATTTAAAATAAATTGAAAATGCAGGAGAGGAAGAAGGCAAGAACCCGAGAAGATAAGAAAAATCAATCTTGTGGAGGGACAGCCTGAAATAAGAGGGGGAAAAATGAGATTAACAAAAGACACAAAAAGACAAAACAGGACAGAAAGGGACAAAAAACAACACATTCAAAACAAGTCGAAGACAGACCGACAGACCGCGCGAAAGGTAGCAACCAAGTAGAGATGGAGGAGATTGAATAAATGTTAACAATTAGTAGTCAGAAGTTAAGAGTTTTTTGAATTGGTTAGTAAAAGTTTTAATGGAAGATGCATTTATCAAGTATGAGGGTAACGAGTTCCAAAGTTTGGGGCCCGAAATTCTGATGTTGTGCTGGAAGTAATTGGTTCTATGGTTGGGTATACGGGTATTAGCGCAGTTACGTGTGCTGTAATTGTGAAAGGAATAATTGGATTTAAAAGTGTTACAGAAGTGACAAGGTAAGAGACCATGGTAGAAGGAGTACATAAACAGACCTTGCTGAAGGGAATTAATGTCAGCGAGTTTAAGAAAATTGAGATTAGAAAATAAAGAAGAAGAATGAGACCATGGTGGAACGCCAGATATAATCCTGATAGCCTTCTTTTGAATGATTTGAAGTTTGCTTAAGTTGGATGAGTAGGTGTTACCCCAAACAATGTTGCAGTAGCTCAGATAGATGAGAATGACAGAGCAATAAAGAATACGAAGAACATTGCGGGGAACAAAAGAGGATAACCTAAAAGTGATACCAAGGCTTTTGGATACTTTATTTTCAATTTGGGAGATTTGTTTTTTCCAATTTAATGCACTGTCAAGATAAACTCCTAGGAACTTGGCAAATTCGGTATTGGGAATTTCGTGATTATCAATATAGATTTTGAAATTCGAAGGATCGGAAGTTTGTGATTTATGGGGACTTCGAAACAGAATGAAGCTACACTTTTCGTGATTAATTGAAAGTTTGTTGGCAGCAAAGTATTGGGAAGTGGAAATTATATTAGAGTTAACAATGTTGAATAAAGAATGGATATTTTTGTTAGAATATAGGATAGTGGTGTCATCATCATAAAGAAAAAAAGAAAGAAGGTTGGAAGACAAGTGAACATCATTAATATATAAAAGGAACAGAAAAGGGCCCAATAGGGATCCCTGGGGGACACCACAAGTAATCTGGCGAAAGTTGGAGATAGTGTTGAGATATTTAGTGCATTGTGAACGATTAGAGAGGTAACTTCGAAAAAGATTAAGAGCGGGACCACGAATACCATAGTGAGAAAGTTTATATAAAAGGATGTTATGGTCAATAGTATCAAATGCTTTGGAAAGGTCAATAAAAATTCCTATAGTAATTTGACTATTCTCAAATGCATCGACAATTTTATTGGAGAGGTCAGTAAGGGCAATGGATGTATTGTAGCCTTTTCTGAACCCAAATTGTCTGTCATAAAGTATATTAAATTTAGTAATAAATTTGAGTGTTTTATCATAGATTATTTTTTCAAGGGCTTTTGAGAAGACTGATAAGATTGAGATTGGGCGATAATTTGAAAGGTCAGATTTGGATCCAGATTTAAAAATCGGTGTAACACGGGCTAGCTTCATTCTGTTAGGAAATGGACTCAGATGGATGGACATAGGAAGTATGAAAAGGTCTTTCATAGGTGAGCTAATTCACTTGTTTTTGTTTTTTGTTAAAGTAAAATATTAAACTTACGGTTTTTGAACTAGTCTATTAGTAATGCATGTTTTCCCAACATGTTCGTCCCCTAGCACCATGATTTTGACATTACACAGTTTTTTCCCTCCATCTTTTATTGATGTATTGAAGTTGTTTATTGCTACCTCTCCACGAAGAATTATCTCCTCAGGAACGTCTGGAAAAGTGTACAGCAAAATAGACATAATCAGCAACTGTGAACTAGTAGTGGCCTTCTTGTGTATGGGGCAGCATGTGCAGCAAAAAATTATAGTACAATTGCAAATGTCAAATTTAACAAAATTAGATCTAATTTCTCGAACGTCTGTCTAAATTGTTCCTGTGTTGTTTAATAGCAAAATTAAAAATTAAAAAAAAAGTCAAAATTGGTAAGTTTCCCATGTTGGACAGTAACATCATCCTGACCACCTAATGAGTGATAAGGCACTGACTAAATAGTAATTGTGTGTATGTGTGTTCAGTATTTTATATTTTGTGGCAATTAGTTCTCGATCCATGACAATGAATTTTTTTTTTTTTGTTTAGTCTTAAACAGAATTGTAGCTGTCAATGTGAAGCGAGAGCATTACTCTCCATAGTCTACAGGAAGCTAACTGTTGAGTCAACGTATCAGCAATATGCTGAGGGTTTCCCTGACACCAACGAGACAATGTCGTCAGCACAAACAATATGCCAACGACAGTGCTAATTAGTCATGAGATTGTCTCCTTGGCTTATTTTAAGCATTTAAAAAATACTTAAAAATTATTTATTGCCACTGTTAAAATCAGACGCGTCGATTACGAAGTGCTGGAAGGTATCAAGAACGGTCTGGCTTTCGGTGCGGAACGTTT